GTCTTATCTTAGATAGTATATTTATCCTTTTATGTATAGGTGGTCTAGAGTTGGAAAGGTAAAGGGTGGAGACTAGGTCTAAAGTAAACTCTGGGTTGGTAATTAGAGCCAGAAAAGATACATGGTTAGGTTAGATGTTGAATTTCTACTTCAATTAAAATTACTTTAAAAGTACTTTTATCCATTGTGTAATTTGTTTGAATTTAGAATGCTTTTCTGGATTTCTACCAGAGCCAATGTTTTACACAGTGCACCATGCCAAGAGAAAACAGTAGGTGTTAATAAACCTATTTAGAGCTATATATTTGCAGGTCATAATGTTAGAGACTGTTGCCAAAGTCAGCTTCTGAATTATAAAAATCACAATGAAACCAGAAAAAGTTTTCAGAAATAAATAATTTATCTACAAATTTCATTATAGCATTACTGAATATAGTGATATATTAAATTTATGTAAAAATCTGACTATCCACAAGAAAGCCACCATTTTTAGATATCATATCAAAGTGTAATTGACTTTCGTTTTTTGGTCCAGATTACAGTAGGCAGCACTTCCTGAATCTAAGAATCGGTTATTTATTAAGAACATACAGAACTATCACTTATTTAAGTGTATTTGTCTTTGAGGCCAGTGTCATTTACTTGGCCAAAGTGAACAGTTTATCACTATTTAAAGACTGTGATACACCCACATGAATCATGAGAATAAATATCGGCAGTGCTACTCTTATAGTAAAGACCCACATGCTGAGATTCCAATAGTGACATAATCCAAAAAATTATTCAATATCAAAGATGGATAATAAATACTGTTACAACCCCAGATTACGTTTTTTGGTGTTGACCTAGAAAGGATGTAATGTTATCTGTGAATACCGAAAGAGGCTGTCAAACCAGCTAGCATTGTTGACAAAGGGGTTAATATAATTGATTCTTTGTTTAAAAAAATTATTTTACTTATTGCATTTACGTTGTCATTATTACTTTTTAAGTTTTGCTACAGGGCACATGCACTCAGTAGAGAGTAACAGAGAAAGAGGGAAAGTGAGAAAGCAAGCTACCAGAACTGGAACTGGAACCAGTCAGCACCTTAACTATCACACCACCTGCTGTCACCAATATGACTGATTCTTTAAAAATTGATTCTTAAAAAAAAATATGCATTTATTTAATTTTATTTATTATTTTAATTATTTGTTATTATTAAATAATATTAAAACATTAAATATGTAATCTTTGGATAGATATATTAAATATTAAAATAATAAATAATAAATAATATTTTGTTATTTTAATTTTATTTATTATTTTAAAATTTGACCTTAAAGAGACAAAATGAGAGGGAAAGTGAGAAAGTTAACCACCAAGTCTGAGACTCAAACTGTGGTTTGCCATATAGGAGTCCAGCAGTTTAACCACCACGTCACCTGCTGGCCCCATAAGTGGTTCTTAAATGGGTTATATTAGATTATTATCTAGTAGTTTATAGAATTTTAAATTTCACAGTCCAAAAACAAAGGTTGCAAGAATGAGTTTTTTAAGTCTGTTTCCCATTATTTCATAAATATTAGGCAAATGGAGGACGTGGCATATAGTCAATCAAACTCAGTGCATGCTAATTGAATAAATGGGTAGATGACTGAACAACGAAAAAGTAGTGATGGTTTAATTTCAGAAAAAAGGATGCATTTAAGTGGAATATATTTGATTTTAGGAAAAACTAAATGCACTATTTTAATGTTCCAATTTTTCCATGGCCCAGCCAATCTCTTCATGACCTACCAAGAGTCCACAGACTGGTTTGAGGGGACCTGATACACAGACTAGCAGCTAACTAGTTCAAAGCTAGCTCTTCCCTGGATATGCTGCTTATGTCTGTGGCCACCCACCAAAGATGGGTGGCCACAGACTTCCAGTCATTTATTATTCTACTCTGAGCCAAGCACATTGTAGTCTAGGATTTGAGGATAATTGGAAGATTAGGGCACTGTCTTGATGCTCAAACATAATGACTTAATTTATGGAAAGAGATGCGCTCCCTTCTCCCAAAAAATATTACAATACAATATGGTGAGTGTCACAAAAAAGACTGCCTATTACTAGGTATGTGGGTGACAGAAAGAAAATGACCCCTGTGATGAACCTAGGGGTGAGTGTTGGAGAAGATGGCATTTGACTTAGAGTCTTTTCTAATTATTGTTGGCCTGTGAGTTGTTGAACTCTATAATTTGTATGACTTTGGAAGCGTATAGTCCACATTGCCTTCAGCTTAGAAGTCATAGCTATGTAGCCTTGGGCAAGTTACTGAACTAGTTTAGGTCTCCATTCTTCTCCTGTAAAATGAAAATAATAAAAATATCTACTTTATAGAGTGACTGTGAGGACTATATCATGTACTTGTAAAATGATTAGCACAATGGGATGTAGTAGAGGAAGTTCTGTTATCATTGTTGTAACTAACTTCAGCAGAGTAGGCTAGTGATGGCAACCAGCAGACGCTCAGGATTTTCCTAAACATTGTTGAACTCCACTGACAGCCTACCTGTTACAGAAATTAGGATAAAACTCAACATTTGACCACTTGACATGTGTCTTAGGGTGAGAGAAAGAGCCCTAGATTTTATATCAGATAGCTGGGTGCTAATAGCACCTTTGCTGCTAGTCAACTGGAGTAGTCACCCATTTTTTTTTTTTCATCAGTAACAGAGAGAAGATCAAGCCATCTTTTCTATTTGAAGGAATCCTTTAAAATTCTTTGTTATGTTGAACTTTTTTTTTATCTTTTATTTCTTTGGATTTCATGATTGATTTGGGTTTTTCTTCCTTATGTTCCCAAATAAGCTTTCTATATGTGTGCATCTATTTTTAAGTTAGTGTCAAAAATTTTTTGGTTACCATAAGGGTGTATGCTCACCAGAGAGAGACAGAGAGAGGGAGAAGGGAGAACTCACTGTCTGGTGGGGCGTAATCAAGCCACAATCTCTTCTCTATTTCTCCATCCTGCTGAGGTTTTGGGAACATGGCCAGCATGTTTTTCAGGTCATCAAGGTGGGATTCAAACTTTGGCCATGTGAGATCTGGTTCACTTAACCAGTTATTGGCTAACCGGCCCAAGTTATTGTCAAGTTTCAGTGAATCTTATTTCATGACAGGCTCAAAATAATCTCTCCTCTGAATTTCCATAGCACTTTATATACAATTTCCCTAAAGCACTTGAAATTTACATCTTATATTACAGTTACGTGTAAGCATGTTTTATTTATTCTGCTAGATTATAAGCTTATTAAGGCACAGAATTTGTTCTGTAGTTTCTCTTTGTATTCCTAGCTCCTAGAGCAGTGATTATTTTTTTCATGCTGCCATCTAGATACTCATAGTATTAATGAGTAAGGTCTGTCTGAGATTGTGCCATGTCAGCTGCTGGTTCTATGTTGTACTATAGCCGTTTATATAAGATGTAACCATTGGGGGAGCCAGGGTAAAGGCCAGGAAGTCTCTGTACTCTGTCATTATTGATGTTTGTTAAACAACTTTATGAAAATATAATTTACACACCTTGCAGTTTACCTATGTAAAGTGTACAGTCCACAGATTTTTATTCGCATAGTTGTACAGTCATCAGGACAGGCAATTTTAGAACATTTTCATCGCGGCAGAAGGGAATCCAGGGCCAGGTGCTGTATAGCAGTAATGTGACTGGGGCCACATGGGAAAGGTCCTGGGCTCCTGTCCCAGGACTTCTGTAAGCATGCCTCATTCTCATGCATGCCCATGATCTGAGCCAGCTGAGATTGGGGTAAATGTTGGAATGAAGGCCTGGCCCTGTTGGGGTCCCTATTTCTCCCTCTTCCTCCCTCTGTCTCTCTCGCTCTATCTCTATTTCTCTATCTACTGGAAAGAAAGAAGTAAACTTAGGGGGAGAAAAGAAGATGAAATCTCACACTTAGCTAATATCCCCTTCCAATTTCCCTAGACTCCCTATAGCCCATGGTGACCACCAGTATATTTCTGCCTCTATAGATTTCCCTGTGCTGGGCATTTTATACGAATTGAATATAATGTGTGGTCTCTGTATTGTTTTTTGCAACTGTCTGTGAGTCTTTAAGTATTTTAAAACTAAAAGTTAAAAAGAAAATTTGGGTGCCAGGTGGCATGGTGGTTAAAGCTCTGGACTCCCAAATAGTTGATCACAGTTTGAGTCCTGGACCTAGTGGCTTGCTTTCTTACTTTCCCTTTCTCTGTCTCTCTCTGGCCAAATTAAAGAATAAATAATAGTAATAAATAAAATTAAATAAATAATTCTTTAAAAAAATGAATTGGGTGTGGCTATGGGGCAAGCAGTGAGCTGGGCACTGGGAAACAAGCCTGAGACTAGGATCACTGCCCCTAGGAGCCTAGAGTTTAGGAGCAAAGACAGAAAAGCTAAGTGGATGCTGATAGTGCAGTGTACCTGCTAACTGCTCTCCTGGAGGCACCTCAGAGACTAGAAGAATACCAGGATAGAGTAGAGCTCAGTTTGGGGAGAGGTGAGGTCAGGGAAGTTTCCCCAGAGGAATTTGTTAGCATGTTTATTTAAAAGAGATATTTGATATAGGGTGCATGGCCTTGCCAGAGAGACAGAAAGCAAGAAATCACCTCCCAGGGGGGATGGCCACACCACAATCCCTTCTCCTCCATTCTCCTCTAGGGATTTTGGGCACACACGCACACACACCTAGCATGAGTTTTAAGCCACCAGATCTGGGACTCAGACGACAGTCGACTACATGGGAGTCCCCCAACATAGCCGTTATGCCATTGCTGGTTCCAGTTAGCACATTTTCAAAGTTCATGGCATGTGGAAAGAATCTGGGGCCATGTGTGGATGGGTCACAAGCTCACATGGCATCTGTAGAGCTCAACTCTTTCTTGAGACTTTTGCTTCTGTTAGCTGGAGCCTCCTGACTGCAGTGTTAGGTGGCCTGGATGCAATGTAGTCATCGGCTGTTTCTTCTCCCCAGTGTCCAACAAGCACCCATTTGTGGACAGCAATCTTCTCTACCAGTTCCGAATGAACTTCCGTCGGAGGCGAAGACTGATGGAACTGCTCAATGAAAAGTCCCCCTCCTCCCAGGAGACTCATGACAGTCCCTTCTGCCTGAGGAAGCAGAGTCACGACAACCGGAAGTCTACCAGTTTCATGTCAGGTACGCCAGAGTCATTGTTTATTCATGCACGTGTATTTGTCTTTTGAGAAATGGTACAGTAATAACTCACCTTTGTGAAACTCTAATCTCCAGAAAATTTTTATTTGCAATCAAGAAGTGTATCAAACAAAATCAAACCCCAGGTTTGGGCATATGTGTACACATGCCCGGAGTTTTTTCAGGCTGCTGGGGCATGTGGGGTCTGGTTCCCTTAAGCACTATGCCTCAGGGCCAGTCTGGCAGAGGGATTTTTGTTCAGTCATACACCTTCCTACTGTTGAGAGCAAGCCTATTCTGTGGCACAGAGAACCAAAGTCAGAAATTAGAGACACTGCTTCACATGTACTTACAAAGCCTGAATACGTGCTTTGTATTTTAAGTTCCTTCTTCCATGACTCTGGGAAATTGATGGTTTTATATTAAATCAGGAGGCATTTATTGTAACTGTGAATTCATCAGTTATATAGCCAGTACTGAATTTACAGCATAGCAGAGACAGCTCAGCATGGATTTGGTAGTTCTTGAAACAATATTATACTTTCACGTCCATTATATATAGTCCACTGTTTGCACCAACCCTATGAGATAGGATTGTTCTCACTTTACAGTCAGACAACTGAGTCTCAGGGAGCTGAAGGGAATGGCTCCATGCTGTGCTGTAAGCGACAAAGCTGCCACTCTGACTGCAAGGCCAGAGTGCTTTCACCTGGCCTTGCTGTATCTTGCCACTGAAAGCCCATGTGCAGAGGAAACTGAGGCCAACCTCCTCAGTGAATGTGTGTGTTCTGGCCTTTGCAGTCAGCCCCAGCAAGGAGATCAAGATTGTGTCTGCAGTGAGGCGAAGCAGTATGAGCAGCTGCGGCAGCAGTGGCTACTTCAGCAGCAGCCCCACTCTCAGCAGCAGCCCCCCTGTGCTCTGCAACCCCAAGTCCGGTGAGTGCACAAAGGCAGCCCTGCTCCTGACCAGGACTGTGGAGACAGAGATGTGCAGGCTGTGTTCCCTGAAAAGCAAATCATGGGACTGAGGGAGACTACTACACAGAGTCTTACTGGGGCATACTCTTGGGGTCAAAATCTGTTGACTAGAAGAGAAGGAAGAGAATTGGGCAGCAGTGCAGTCCCAAGAAAGGCTGCAGTTGGCCTCAAGGGGAGCTTTAGAGCCAAGATGGCCCTAAGAGTTGCCTGGAATTATTTGCATTGAGGGGGTCAAACCTTTATACCCACATATTGACCAGATAGAGTTGGCTATCCCTGAAAAGTGAATGTGATTTTGAGCAAAGCTACTCTCTTAAGACCGTTCCCAAAGACATTGAGGCTGTCTGACATTAGCACTCCCAGCCCTCAGGCCTCAAGGGAGTTTAGAACAGTACATGATAGTCTTCACTATGGGAGTGGATATGGTCTGTCCCCAGATTGTAGCAAACTAAGAATCATTTGGCACTCAGCACCCGCAAAGAAGCAGCATAATCTATGCAAACACCACTATCCCTGCATTCGACCCTTGCTGCCTTGCAGTTTTGAAATCTACTCATTGACCTCCATGACCTTTATATTCTAGAACAATAGATCTGGACACAGATAATTCTTCCTTGGCCCAGTTAATTCTTCAATACCCAAGGAGCCTGTCATCTATTGATACTGCCGCCTTCTCACTGTCCCTCACCCACCAGTGTCCTCATTGCCCTCTGCACTCCTTCAGGATGACACATGTGGTCTGTCATAATGCTCACTTGAACACACTCTCAGCTCCATTAATTTAATGCACTTTCTACCCTCAACTCAGCTTATCACCTTCAGGGAAAAGATATCTCTTTCATTCATGTGGTTTCTTCATTGCCAGACGTTGGAGCGACAAAGATGAGAGGTCCTGATGCCTTAGCTCAATGCATACTATTTCTTCTATTTCTTTCTTTTTTTCTTTTGGAGAGGTTTTTGCTATAGGGCACATGCACTCGCCAGAAAGAGAGAGAGACAGAGAGACAGAAAGCAAGAAATCCCTCCCCATGAGAGGATGGCCACACCTCAACCCCTTCTCTTCCATTCTCTCTCAGGATCTTGGGCATTCATGCACATGCACCAACGTGAGTTTAAGCCACTGGATCCGGGACTCAAACCTCTGTTAACTACATGGGAGTCCAACGACATAGCCATTACACCAACTGCTAGTCCCAGTGAATACTATTTCTTTGGAGGAAAAACAAAACAAAACAAACAACAAGAACAACAACAACAACAAAAGCAAAACATTACATGTTAGTGAAAAATAAGGACTAAGATGTTGCTCGAAGGACTTTAAGAGAAAGCTCATCTGATGCTGTTCTCTAGTAGGGTTATTATCCTTTCTGATCTTTCTTTTCTTTTTACTGCCTTCTGGAGGGTTAGTGACAGTAATAAAGTTGTAACCTGCAAGTGAATGAGGAAACTTGCTTTTGCAATGACGCTGAATGGAAAATCACTGAGCACCCATGTGTTACTGGGTTTTCAATCAGTGGAGGGTGCTGATAATGTGAAATGAGAAAGGAGCACAATATTCTAAGACATGAGATATTCAAAGCTCAGATAGTATTCCAACAGACATCCTCAAAGTTAGAAACAAGAGATCTTAATTTCAAAAAAGGACTAGGGGTGCCACAGCCATGTTACCTGTGTTTCTATTTTGTTTTGCTTTGTTTTGTTTGTTTTTGTTTTGCTATAGGGCACGTGTGCTAGCAGAGGAGAGACAAGGAGATTAAGAGAGAGAGAAAGTGAGAAATGCCCCCCCCCCAGAAGGGGATGGTCTCACCACAATCCCTTTTCCTCCATTCTCCTATCAGGATTTTGAGCTGCCCAGTGTTTTTGTTTTGTTCCCCCCACCCCCCCAGCTGCAGGGTCAGAGACTCTGCCTAACCAGCTGCCCTACCCTTCAGGCCACAGTTTACTTGTTTTTGATTGCATGGGATAGAATATGAACAAAGGTGTTAATTACTTCAATTAGCAACTCATCCCTGTTGATTGGGTGGGTTGACATTGTTTCCTTTTTTCTTTGCCCCTGGGTAAAAGGGAAACTTTACTGATAGGCAGGCAGAAAAGAAAGTGGGCTTTTGTCTATCTCTAAGGACTAGACCTGTCTGGATTGAATTGTCCTTAGTAAGTCTTTCTCCTCCTCCTTTCCCCCCTCTTCCACAACCTCCATCTCCCCTTCTCCTTTCTCTACCCCACCCTCCTCCTCCTCCTTAAAGATTTTTGCTATAGGCTGTGTGGACTTACTGGAGAGACAGAGAGACGGAGAAGTGGAAAGTGAGAAATCACCACTCAGGGAAATGGCCATGCCACAATCCCTTCTCCATTCTCTTCTTGGGATCTTGGGCATGCACGCACACATGGCATGAGTTTTAAGCCACCAGGTCTGGGACTTAAACCACGGTCAACTATGTGGGAGTCCAGCGACGTAACCATTATGCCATCTGCTGGTCCCAGCCCCACTTCTTACATGTATGCTTTATTCCCTTGCTATAATTTTTATTTCACATGTATAGGCTCCAGGGTATCTCATGGGACATCTGAATATTGTTTTTATTTTTTTCAAATTTTTATGAACACATTATAATTGTTCATACTTGTAGGGGTACAATATGATTTTCCAGTACAGTGCTATGTGTGGTGTTAAATCGGGGCAATTAGCATATCCATCATTTCAACCATTTGCACCAGAAGCATTCAAAAGCCTCCTTGTAGTTACTTTGAGCTGTTCAGTAAGTTGATGACTATGTTCTCCCTACTGTGTTTTATAACTCTATAGACATTGTTCCTCCTATCCATCTGCAATTTTGTTTCTGTTACTCATCCTCCTTTTATGCACTTCACTGGACCATCCTTCCTGCCTGTAGTAGTCATTCTTGATCCCTCTACCACTAAGGTTATTATTTGTTTTTTCAATTTTCACATTCAAGGAGACCATGTGATAGTTCTCTTTCTGTTCCTGGCTTTGACAAGCCTTTTCCTCATTCTTGAGAGGGATTCCAAGACCCAGTGACTTTTTGTTTGTTTGTTTCATTTGTTTTTGTTTTTCCTGACGCAGATAATCAGGTCTTCAGAATAAGGCATTTAAAAAGTTAATCATATATGCACTAGAATATATATTTTTAAAGAAATATGTGTCAGTATAAATGTCCTAAGCCAGGCCTCCCACATTGCCACAGATATTACCATAATCAGATCATTGTGATGAGTAAATAAGTTTCTGAGGATGTGAAAAAAAGAACGCTGGGGAACCAGCAGTTAGTGTAATGGCTATGTCTCTGGACTCCCACGTAGTCGACCGCAGTTCGTGTCCTGGACTCAGTGGCTTAAAACTCACGCCAGGCACGTGTGTGTGCGTGCCCAAGATCCCGAGAGGAGAATGGAGGAGAAGGGATTGCGGCGTGACCATCCTTCCTGGGGGGTGATTTCTTGCTTTCTGTCTCTATGTCTCTCTCTGTCTGTCTGGCGAGCGCACACGCCCTATAATGAAAAAAACCTTTCCAAAAAAAAAAGAACGCTGTAGGCTAGTTCCCCAAGTCTCAAAGTTTCTACACTTTTCAACATAATAAAGTGAAAAGATAGACTGAAATAAATGGTCAGTACTAAGGACAAAAAGTACCATGCGATTCTTGCATCCAAATTCATAACCCCCTGAGGGCATGTGGGAGATGTAGAGGGCATTGTCTGACAGGAATAAGAACAGATTTTAGTATTCAGACATTGAGCCTTTTTCTTACCTCCTATCCATCCACCAAGAGATTGTGTTCCAGTTGTGATATCCAACCTCCCGGTAGTTTGGCAGACATGAATTTGTTTGCTGTCTTTTATAAGTTTCCTGAAAGCAAAAATAATAATCCTAGCCACTTGTCCCCTCAACCTCAACTGGAAGGGCTTCATTGCTGTCACATGAGACGGTGCTTTCTGGGCCAGAGGTTGCACATGTACCCAGCAGGCGAGCCCAGCTGCCTGGTGGGTCATCCTGCCGTGCCCTCATTCCAGGACTGACATCTGATCTCTGGATGCTGCCAGCAAAGGGAATTGGATGCTGGCCAGGTGAGGCCTCGGCCTTGCTCATTTCTCCCCCTCCCACCCTCCAATGTGGCACTTCAAGGTCATGATGTCTACATAACTTGGCTTGAATGGACCCTGTCTCTGTATCCACTTGCTGTTCTGGGCAGCGGTGACAGCTTTCTTAGTGAGCACTAGATCAATGAGGAAGTTCGTTATTTGTGATTTTTAGAGAGTTGGCAAGTCAGATATTGGCTGTTGTCTCTGGACAATGATGGTGACTGCATGGGAACAGGGGTTTTAGGATAGTACACCACACCCTCAGGAGGGCCTGAGTCCTTTCTTCTCATAGAGACAGCACCGGATGGACAATGTGGTACAGAGGCTGAGTATGTGAGCACTGGCCTGTGTTTAAACTTAATTATGTGGGACCAGCAGATGGTATAATGGTTACATCACTGGTTTCCCAAATAGTCTACTGCGGTTTGAATCCCTGACTCAGTTGCTTAAAACTTACGCCAGGCAGGGACCAGCAGTTAGTGTAATGGCCATGTCGCTGGACTCCCATGCAGTCGACCGCGATTAGAGTCTCGGACCCGGTGGCTTAAACTCACGCCAGTCACGTGTGTGTGTGTGTTCCCAAGCTCCCCAGAGGAGAACGGAGGAGAAGGGATTATGACGTGGCCATTCCCCCCTGGGGGATGATTTCTTGCTTTCTGTCTCTATGTCTTTCTGTCTTTCTGGCAAGTGCACACACACTATAGCCAAAAAAAAAAAAAAAAAAAAAAAAAAAAAAAAAAAGATTTAAAAGAAATAGGATAATTTTTTATGTATAGAAAAAAATTAAAAGTTATTCGTTGATGATAATGTATGTGGTAAGGTCTTTGTCATGACTGATATGCACTGTATTCATGGTGGGAGAAACCATGTTGTACACTGTAAAGATGTATAGTGATTAATTGTAAATATAGATATATGTGTGTTAACACACACAATATGTCAACCCTCCCCTTTATCCTTACCCTGGACACTCCCCCCTTTTCTCTCCTCTTCTCACCTGTCCCCTCCCCTCTTCTCCCTTCCTGCCTCTCCTCTTCTCTTTTCTTTTTCTTCCCCCACATGTCTTTTTTTTAAAATTTATTTAGCTTTATTATTATTATTATTATTTTCACATGAGTTTTGCCAGAAAAAGACAGAGAGAGAGAGAGAGAGATGCCGCGAGGTCCTGGACTGGAACCGTGGTCGGCCATGTGGGAATTCCAGCACCTTAACCACCACACCACTTGCTGGCCCCTTCTCCCATATTTCTATAAGTTAGGTTTGGAGTTATTTATGTTTGCTGATATTTTCTGTCCACTTGGCTAGAGTATAAACTGTAAAGTAGTGATCTGAGCTGCTTTTGTTCATTAATGGTCGCATACGAGGTGTTCTGTAAGTGCCTGCTGATTGAATGAAGGACTTGGAAGTTGACTCCTGGACACTATGTCTGTCTTGCAGTGCTGAAGAGGCCTGTCACTTCTGAGGAACTCCTGACGCCCGGGGCACCATATGCAAGGAAGACGTTCACGGTAGGTTTGTTTGGCTTTGCTCTGGTGCTGCACATTTTCCTGATTCATGTCCGTGTGTCCGTGTATAGCTTCATGTACTGAATTGGAAACTTTTTCCTAATTTTTCTTTTGTTTTCAGCATATTTAAAATCATAGGCTTTCTTGACCCTAAAGTACTAAAATGTATTAGGGTTTATCATGTTTCATTATGAATACTACATTTTTTTAAAAAAAGGTTTTTGCCTTAGGGCTCATGTGCTTGCCAGAGAGAGAGAAACAGAGAAAGTGAGAGGGAAAGTGAGAAATCACCTCCCAGGTGGGATGACACACTGCAATCCCTTCTCCTCCATTCTCCTCCTGAGAGCTTGGGCACATGTGTACATGTACTCTACATGATTTTCAAGTCACCAGGTCGAGACTCAAACTGTGGTCAGCCATGTGGGAATCTAGCAATATAACAGTTAAACCATTTGCTGGACCCAATTTTAAATTGTTGTGATGTGTGTGCATGTTTTCAAAGATTTTCATTACGGACTTATTCTAATGTAATTACAAATTTTGAGGTCCCAGAAATACCAACAATTCTTTCCATATTAGAGTTATTTTTAAGACTAATTTAAGGCATTAGGGAAGTCTTCAGGTAGAGAAAGAAAACTCTGGTATAAATTGTTGTACCATGAGTCAGTGTTCTCTAGGGAGACAGAACCTATAGGATATAGACAGATAAACAGGTAGGTAGATAGATCTAGATAGATGATAGATAGATAGATAGATAGATAGATAGATAGATAGATAGATAGATAGATAGACAGACAGACAGGCAGGCAGACAGACTTTATTGGGGCAAGAAGCTCATGGGACTTTCGGTGCTGAGAATTCCCACTAAAGGCCACTTGCAAGCTAGGGATCATGGGATTCTGGTAGGATGACTCAGTCCAAGTCTGAAGGCCTGAGAGGCAGGGAAGCTGATGATATAACTCAGGCTGAGGCTGAAAGCCTGAGAACCTGAGGAGCCGTTGGTGTAGACCCTGGAATCTGAAGGCAGAGGAGTCCTGAGTTTGGATGCCTGAGACAACAGAAGTCTCTTGCTCTCTCTCAAAAGAGGCTTATTGTCTTCTGTATGTATTCTCTCCTTAATTGGGTCATACCTGCCCACATTAAGGGTGGAGCTTCTCTACCAAGTCTACTCAAGCTAATATGTTAATCCTTCCTGAAAACACTTCCATGGGTACACCCAGAGTAATGCTTTACTAAGTTTTTAAGTATTCCTTAGTCAAGTTGACACTCAAAACTAACCACCAAGATAAGGAACAGTGCTTTTAAACAAGACCAGCATACTTGAGGGATGACTGTGTTAGCATGGAGAGAAATAACTTGGTTCTTGTCTTCTTGAAAGAAAGAATCCAGCCAAGAGAAGGTCAGATAGAGGAACAACAAAGTTTTATAGCAGGGTAAAGGGAAAGTACAAAGAAGGGTTTGAAAATGACAGTGAAAGTATACTCCTGAGAGGTAAGACTGGTTCCAAGGGTGAATACCAGCATTCAGGTTTCTGGTTGTTTGTTTTGTTTTTTTGTTTTTAAATTTTTTAGAGATTTTTGCTATAGGGCATGAGCACTTGCTAGAGAGAGAGAGAAATAGAAGCAGAATGTCATCCCCCAGCGGGGATGGCCATGCCTCAATTTGTTTCCTCCAGTCTCCTCTCAAGATTTTGGGCATGCATGCACATGCACCTGGCGTGAGTTTCAAGCCACTGGATCCAGGACTCGAACCACAATCACTGAATGTAACCATTACACCATCTACTGGTCCCAGGTTTCTGAATTGTTGCTATTGTATCTTGGCTTCTCCCCCTTTTACATCAGTATATGCTCAGTTGAGCCTTGTTATAGAACAATTTCCCACTAGTCCATACAAATAATATGTTAATGAGTTAAAGGTTACTTGAGGGCAACCAGCCTCAGCACTGAGCATGCTCTGAGCTACATAAGCTCCTTTCCAGTTATATAAGCTCCTCAACTTCAATACAGAGCATGCTCCAAGTTATGTAAGTGCTTCTGTGTTGCCCCCTATCTTGAGTAGCAGGATGTTCTTGGCTGCAAAACAGCTAAAAGGGCAGTATATGGCATTTCCGCTATGGGCCTCTAGACCCTCCCCCTCTCTGCTCATGTATGACTATCTACCTAATCTCACAAAGACACCCAAAGTAGTAATGCCCATAAGCAGCTCCTGAGGACCTGCCCCTTCTTGAAGGCTCCTCGGTCTTCCTTCTGCCTCTCTTTGCTTCCATTGGGTTTCTTCTAACAGAATCAGTATTCTTATTGACGTTACTTCGCCCACCTCCCTTTCTTTGCCCTCTTCTACCAATCCCCTCAGATCTACATTGACATCCTCATCAGAATACTTCTCTTTCCTTCTGTCTTCTAACTTTTCTCCCATTAAAAATCTTTCCACACTCATTCACAAAGCACAGATTTGTCAAGCACTGCTTCACATTCTGAGCACTGAAGGATTAATATGAGAAAGATATTGATAATATGTCTGTACCAGGAAAATAAGGTAAACTGTCCATTGGGAAGTGAAATTAGGTATAATAAATGAATAATAGAAACCTTAAAGTCACTGAATATCTAAATACTTTCATGAGAATTTTCATAAAAATTTCCACTTGATTCCCTGCTTTTTCCTTCATCTCCAGCATTCAAGAGACAGTTATTCTTTTTTTTTTTTTTTTTTTTTTTTTTTTTCAGGGATTTTTTTTGGAGGCGTTCCCAGAAAGACAGAGAGAGACAGAGAGACAGAAAGTGAGAAATCACCCTCCAGGGAAGATGGCCATGCCATAATCCCTTCTCCATTCTCCTCTCAGGATCTTGGGCATTCACGCACACGCACCCAGTGTGAGTTTAAGCCACTGTGTCCGGGACTCGAACCACAGTCGACTATGTGGGAGTCCAGCGACATAGCCATTACACTAACTGCTGGTCCCCAGTTATTCTATTTTTTTTGTTTGGAGAGGTTTTTGCTAGAGGGCGCATGCGCTCGCCAGACAGAGAGAGACAGAGAGACAGAAAGCGAGAAATCACCCCCAGGGGGGATGGCCACGCCGCAATCCCTTCTCCTCCATTCTCCTCTCGGGATCTTGGGCACGCACACACACGCGCCCGGCGTGAGTTTTAAGCCACTGGGTCCGGGATGCGAACCATGGTCAACTACATGGGAGTCCAGCGACAGAGCCATTACGCTAACTGCTGGTTCCCTATTTTTTTAAATATTTATTTTGGGCTTTTTTTTTCTTTTAAGTTACCACAGGGGGTTATGGCAGGTGGTATGGTGGTTAAGGGTGCTGGACTCCCACATGGGTGACTGTGGTTCAAGTCCTGGACCTGAAGACTTGCTTTTTCACTTCCCTTCTCTTTCTCTCTCTCTCTCTCTCTGTATCTATCTGGAAATATTAAAAAAAAGAATAATTATAAATAAAATTAAATTAAAATAATTCTTTAAAGTTACCAGAGGGTGTGAGCACTCATTAAAGAGAGAAAGAGAAAGAGGAATCCTTCCCTCTTGCCCATGAAGAGTGGTTATGCTGCCATCTCTCTTTTTCCTTTCTCCATCCTCTCAGGATCTGCTGCATGTACACAACATGTTTTCAAGCTATTTAGGTTGGGATTCCGACTGCAGTCAGCCATGTGGGATCTGTCTGCCTTAACCACTAGGCTGCAGGGCCAGCCCTGGGAATTTTAATTTCAAGGCCAACATTGTACTAGTTGACCATGAATGTGTTTCATCTGTTTATCAGTTGGGGTATGTGGTAGAGACATGTCTGGGAGCTGCCCAGAGAATGTAACGACCAGTTCTAGTAATGGTTTCTTCTATAGGGAAAAGCTTGCTCCTGTTCCAAACAACTTTTGGGTCAGCGTCTACTTGTAAATTGTGAACTTTATGTACTTTTCCCTTTATTTTCTTGGTAGAGAAAATTGTGTATCAAGAAAACCAAGACTCTTCATATTTCCCGTCATTAGTAATTTGTTTCTCTAAACCTCAACCATGTGACAAAATCAAGGATATGTCCTGTGGATCCAAGGGAAAAGAACAAACTTGGAGTAGAAATTGTATCCGGAGAGATATTACAACAGTTTTTTTCTAAGATCTTCTAACACTGCTATTGGAGTCTGATATTAAGTTGTATAGCAGCCCAAGAAAGAGGCACTCTGCCAGCTGTTTACTGAGTTGTGTTCTCCCAGAAGCAGCTTCTTTCTGCCAAGCAGGTTAAATTTCTTGACCACATTTTCCACAGAGAGATGTCTATGTTACAGAAGCAAAGTGTTCCAATTCCCTGGCAGGGTAGACATGAGATGGAGGAAGATATGTCGTGGCCCATACTGAGTCAGGCGTGTTCTCTCTCTTGAGGGACAGGCGCGGTGCCAGGGACTGTCTGTTGATTGCTAATTGTGGTATTCCTCCCTAGATTGTTGGTGACGCAGTTGGCTGGGGCTTTGTGGTACGAGGAAGTAAGCCATGCCACATCCAGGCCGTGGACCCCAGTGGTCCTGCAGCTGCAGCAGAAGGTACTAATTGGTCTCTTCACACCCTCTTTCATATCTGTCCTGAGTTCTTCAAGTCAAATTGGCTGTGATTCTTACTTGGGTCTAAACACCTTATTTCATGGTTTGGTGTTATCTGTACTTGGCTCTCCCTAACACTGTTGGTCCCATTTTTGACACACTCTCTTTGCACTTCAAGTATGGGTTGAAATAAAGCCAACAGCATGTGATATAGCAAGAGAGACCGTTCTGCCTTTGCTTTTGTAGTCTCCAAAGCTACCCCATTTTTCACATTTTTCTCCTTAACCAATACTGAGTTTGAATATATATATATCCTTTTTTTGCTTAAAATCTTATCTAATTTTACCACCTCTGTTCCATGCAAGGTATATTCCCTGGAGGTTTATGCAGCCAGTAATACATACTAGACATAAGAAATACCACAGAATGAGAAAAAGAAAACAAAAGTCATGGAATTGGAAAGAGGAGCTTTGGATTATGTCTTGAATGTGCTAGTCACTCGCTTTTTCACTTGCAAAAGTTTTGGAACAGCTCAGAGCCTACTTCCTCCTGTCTGAAACAACAAACATAATATTTCCCTCAGCTGTTTTAGAGATTAAACATTGAGTACAAAGAGCTACACAAATAACATTCAATTTATTGCATGAGATTTTCGAAAATAACCACTACATATATATATATTTTTTTTTTTTTTTGGAGAGATTTTCACTGTAGGGCACGTGCGCTCGCCAGACAGACAGAGAGAGACATAGAGACAGAAAGCGAGAAATCACCCCCAGGGGGGATGGTCACGCTGCAATCCCTTCTCCTCCATTCTCCTCTTGGGATCTTGGGCACGCACGCACATGCGCCCGGCGTGAGTTTTAAGCCACCGGGTCCGGGACACAAACCGCGGTCGACTACGTGGGAGTCCAGCAACATAGCCATTACGCTAACTGCTGGTTCCACCACTACATATTTTTAGTACTAAAGTAATGCATATATAGTCAAGAAATTTGGATAATAGACAAGCAGAAAAAAAATTCCGTGTAATGTTTACTAACTCAGAGATAACTATAATACTATTAACATAAGCAGCTTTATTTATTTATTATTATTTTTTAAATTAGAGAGATTTTGCTATATGGTGCGTGCACTCGCCAGAAAGTCAGAGAGAGACAGAGAGACAGAAAGTGAGAAATTAACCCCCAGGGGAATGGCCACACCACAATCCCTTCTCCTCTATTCTCCTCTTGGGATCTTGGGCACACACATGCATGCCCAGTGTAAGTTTAAGCCACCAACTCTGGGACTTGAACCACAGTCGACTACATAGGAGTCCAGTGATATAGCCACTATGCCAACTGCTGGTCCCCATAAGCAGCTTTATTAAAGCATAATTAACATACAATAAATTGTAATACTGTTTTTGGGGGGGTTATTTTTGCCAGAGGTTCTATGCACACACCAGAGACAGAAAGAGAGAGAGAACAAGAGGATATGAGGAAACACTTCCCATGGACATGCATGGTCAAACTACTATCCCTTCCCCTCCATCTCTCCTTTAGGGATTTTGGACATGGAGGTACACGAACTTGGTGTTTTATCCAAGCTTCAGGGTCCAGGACTCAAACTGCACAGTTAGCTTTATGGGATCCAACTGCCTTACTCACCATACCACCGACTGGCCCTGTAATACTGTTAATATTTTGACTTATAAATAAAATATGTCTAGTCAAATATATGTCTAGTCCTTCTGGACTTCTTGTATGCATATATATGTATATACATGGGTTTTATTTACACAGAAATCTTATGTAAGAGGATGATGAAAGCATCAGTTTTCTGCTTCAAAGCATCTTTATCTAATAGTTTGTTTTGTCCCCTGTCAAACACTTCACAGAGGATATTTGTGTCTTGAATATCTGAGAACAAGGGAGGAAGCAGATAGCTTGCAAGCAGAAGGTGACTTCTATTTATGCATTCAATGCTTTCATCCTCTCTCATCCTCTTCCCAGAGCAGTAAAGCCCTGCTGCTATAGGCATGGCTTGTATTTCCACCACACTGGTTTCCAGCATGGGTCCTCTGGCATCCATTTACATACTAGAAAAAAAAATGGTGGGCATCTGAGAATGACTCTAGAGAGTAAAGAGCACCTTTACTGCCAGTCTGGTAATCAGTGCTGGCTTGATTTGGGACTGAGTGCCCCCTTACTATAACACCTCGTTCACATTGGGGAGGCACAGGCCTGCCAGCTCCTGTACTTTGGAACAGCTTCAGAAGCTTCATTGACTGAGGTGATCTGTGTGAGAGACTCTTCGTATCTTCTGCTGCAGTAGGCATAGCACCAAAGAAACCCAGAGCAGAAAAGTTGGCCAGGATTGTACAGGGTGAGTACTTGAATCTGTGCCGAGGGTGAATTTTTCATTTTCTAATGGAACTCTTGGCCGTGGGAAGGATTTTGTATTTTATTTCCACAGTAAAGTACCTAGTATAAATTATTTTTGGCACAGTGCTTCAGTTCTGAGCATGCACTCACTCGCATGTGGCTTTGGCTTAAAGCACATTTCCTTTGAGGGAACATGGATTCACATTGCAGCTAAACACCTTGTTTTGCTTAGCCAAGTGTACAGCAAATTTCATTGATTTTAGTCCATCTTTATTGATTAACATGCACAATCATTGTAGACATCATTAGTTGACTAGATAATTAGTTCTTTAATATAGATAGCCAAAGAGATTATATGCTATATGTTTTTTTTTTTCAGTTTTGTAAGCTAATACTTTATATGGTTATATTTTTAGTTTCTCAGGAGGTATACAACGATTTTCATATATTGTGGAGCAGTACAGATTTTCTTAGAGCAGTATTTCCATAATTATATTATGCAGCTCTCTGGCTCAGCAAAATGTCCTATCCTGAAGTTTTGTGATTAGAGATGTATTTTTTGTTTGCTTGTCTTTTCCAATTTGCCAGAAGGTTTATATAATCACTAGAGATGGACAGAGGGGAAATATGAGAAGCACTCCCCATGAGGGGTGGTCACACCTCAATCCCTTCTCCCCTATTTCTCCCTCCTTTTGGTATTTGGGGCCACCTGGCATGCTTTTCAGGCTGCTGGGTCCAAGACTCAAACTGCTCATTCAGCCATGTGGGATCCAGCCACTCTAAACACCATGGTTTCATTGTCCAAGTTTCTAATTAAATGTTAATTTTTTCTTTAATACTCTATGACAAGGGTCCCCGAACCCCAGGCCATTGACTGGTGCCAGTCTATGGCCTATTGGTCACCCCTTCTCCCTGGCCTGGACTGTACATCAGGATTTTGTCTGTGTTTGCAGCTGCTCCCCATTGCTGGCATTGCCACTTGGACTCTACCTCCTGGCAGATCAGTGGTGATACTGGATTCCCATGAGAACACGAACCCTGTTGTTGTTTCCTTGCATATTGCAATGTAGTTGTAGTAGAGGAAATGGGGTAAACGGTGACATGGTGTACTTGGGTTATCCCAGGACCAACCCCTTCCCCTTGTCCCCTCCGTGAACAGATATTCTTCCACAAGGTGGGTTCCTGGTGCTGGGAAGGTTGGGGATTTCTTCTCTACATTATACTCCCTATCTTTATCAAGTTTCTCATTTCCATATCACCTTGGGTTTTTTGTTTTGGTTTTTTTTGTTTGTTTTTGTCATCGTTGTTGTTTCTTATTTGTTAAAATATCACGATGGTTTAAATAGCGAATATTTGCTTGGGAAGTTCAAGATCAAAGCAATGGCAGATCTGTTGTCTGAGGGCCTGTTTCCTAGTTTCAGAGGGTTGTCTTCTTGCTGTTCCTCATAAGACAAAGAGCATGGGAAATAGAGCAATTTCTTCCATCTCTAATTATGAAGGCACTAATTTCATTCATGAGAACCATTCTCTTGGCTTAATTACCTCCCCAAGGACCCACCTTCCCAAATCATCAATGGGGATTAGGATTTCAACATGTGAATTTTGAGAATACAAAAATATTCAGTCCAGAACACCTATTTTATTTTCTCCACAATATTTATCAGATTGGACAATATGTATTTATCTGTGTGTTGTCTATGTGTCTTTAGTAGTCCCCAACATGTAGGTCCTTTATCTGTCTTAACTACTGAATTCCCAATAGCTAGCACAATCGCTGACATTTAGTCAGTGTTGGAAGGAAATTTACTGAATAACCCAGTGAACCAGTACTTTCATAGAAAAGCTAAGGAATTCACTGTTGACCACCTGCATTGTAGCCCCACCTGTTTCACACAAATGATCTTTTTAATTGTTGCAACAACTTTCAAAAGTGGCTAAATAGTTGTCTTAATCTATTTCTGTTGCTATAAATAGAATACCTGAGACTAGGTAATTTACAAAGAAAAGAGGTTTACTTAACTCATGTTTCTATGGACTGGAAAGGTTAGAATTCTGATGAGGATTCTGCACTGTGTCAAAACATTACAAAGCAATGGAAGGGGAGCCAACCAAACATGATGGGGAGGACTACTTTGTAGCAACTCCCTTATGTGAACTAACTGACTCTGTGAGAAAGGCCTTGGGATGCATGTGCTTGCTGAAGAGTCAGAGAGAGACAGAGACAGTGAGAGGGAAAGTGAGAAATCACCCCCTTGAAGGGATGGCCCCACTGCAATCCCTTCTCCTCCATTCTCTTTCTGGGATTCTTGGTCACGCATGCACACACACCTGGCATGATTTTCAAGCTACTGGGTTGGGGACTCAAACCACAGTCGACCATGTGGGAGTCCAGCAACAAAACCACTAAGCCCTCTGCTGACCCCAGTCCCCACTTTCTGAAGGTTCAGTTCTCAATATTATCACGAAGGCAATCAAATTTCAACCTGAGTTTTAGAGGAGACAAAACATATTGAAACCACAGCAATAGTGTTCTCCCTACTTTACAAATAAGGAAACTGAGACCCTTTCCTGAGGTCACCTAGTTGTGACAGTTAGATTCAAATCTGGTTTCTCTGCCCCTAAATCCACCTGCTT